CCGTGATACGGTCGCTACTTATTCGGATAGCGCAGTTACGTACCTTGCAAATAAGGCGTATTTTGCAAAGGGTAAAGTACCTGACCCGGAGACTGCAGTGGAAAATACACGCTACCCATCGATAAGTTTCACCGTCGGTTGCCCGGTTTCCCGGACTGGGGAATCCGCTGCCATAATCCCCGGCGATACCGGCCACTTAATCGTGGCACCAGGGTCCATTACCCCGCATTGTCGGGGGAAGCCGAACGCCAGCAACGTTCGCCCCCTGGAGAACTTTGCTGTGCCAGGCTTACGGCATCACACAGTACCAGGACCAGCCGCGTCTTGCTGGGACGCAGTATTATCTTCATCGGTCTTGGGTCGCGTGTCGCCGCTCCACCAGCTCTGCTGATAGAGCGGAGCCATCAACGAGGGTTGCAAAGAGAGGAGAAAAAAACAAAAAAAAAACGCCGTGAACTGGGAAAAGGCGGAGTCGATGAGTTGGGGCAAGGGCGCCGGCTGTGCATTCATACGGGGGAAGTGCATGGAGAACAACATCACCGCGTACCCCGACATGTTCTGCAACGCCACCAGTGATCTGCTGCGCTGCACATCGGACCGCTGCGCCCTGGGGGACTGCACGCTGGAGCCGCACAGGATTCTCCCGCCGGAGTTCATGTACTTCGACAACCTGTACATCGGCAGCGCGAAGCACGAGATGATGGCGCACTGCCCATTCATCAAGCCGACCGCTGAGACCGCGTGCGAGACGGGCGATGCGTCAGAGATGCCCTGGCAGCGTCGTGGGGCCGCGCTCACGGTGCCTACACGGCACCGGCGTCACATTCAAGGAGCAGCTGGAGGGAGACGACGCCGCGCTGATCGAGGTGGGCGACGTGTGCGTGGAGGTGCGGTGCAGGCCCGGCGACGTCGTGCTGGTGCGCTATATGGGCGAGGCGAAGTGGCGCAAGTGCGCGGAGGGCCAGCAGCTCAACTTGGCGCACGCCGCCCACTTCACCGGCGACCACCTCACATGCCCGCGCTACGACGAGGTCTGCAGCTGCGTCCCGCAGGAGTCCGGCGACGGCGAGCTGGAGATCGTCACCGACCCGGAGGAGGCGCACACTGCCGCCACCAACACCGCCGCTGCTGCCAGAACCCCAAATCCCAAGACCGCCGACGCCGCCAGCCCCGCTGTTGGCGATGAAAAGACTGAACCTTCAACTCTGACAGATCCGGCCCCGGACAGCGGCGATACGCGTAATGACGGCAGCGGCAGCCCTGCGTGGATGGGCGTGCCACTGCTGCTGCTGCTGGCGGTGGCGGCATCGGCCTGCATTTTCGTGCCCTGAGCTCTCGCTGTGTGTGTCTGTGTGTATGCAGGCGATTGCTATCCCTATGAAATGGCGTAGAACCGCGTGGATAAATATCTTACTGGGTGCCGTCTGGTTTCTCTCACTTCCATTGCCTCCACGTTGTGGCAACCGTGTGCGTGAGTGCATTGCACACGCAACAATAATTATCTGCTGCTGCTGCTGCTGCTGCGATCCCGTAGGAAGCGGCACAGCGCACCCTTCTTTGTTTTTGGGCTTCTTTTACTCCCTTTTAATTTGTTTTTGTGTGCTTGTTTGTTTGTCTGACAGGGGATTACGTACAGCACATCCTCCGAGTGAATGCTCTCCTTGCTGTGAGGTGTGACGCTTGCCTCGCGCCATCTTGTCGTCAGTATGCGGCGCACACATGCATCCGCGGACGCCCACAAGGAAGGGACGTGCAAACACAGGAGCAGATGACAAACAGTCACCGGGACCATGTCCGTCTTTCCTTTTTTCTTTGTCTCTGTCTGTGTGTGTGGGTGCCTGTGTGTGAACTTGTTGGGGCCTCTTCATCTTTTTCTTTTACACGGCTCTTTCGTGCCTGATGCGCTGCGTTACGCGGGTCGGAGACCACTTCGGTCTGCCGCATCGCCGCTGCTGCTCCCTTTTGATGCCTCTCTCTCTCTTTCTCTCGGTGTGTGCTCTACCTGCCGCGTGTGTCTCTCTCGGCCCATTGTGCAAACACAGGAAGGTCTTGGCTATACTGAAGATGGCAGCGGTGGTGATGCTCGCACGCCGCCACCTGCTGTGCGTGTTGGCCCTTCTGCTCTGTCACGCATCCCTCTGCGTGGTGGGTGGTAGTCCGGATACATCAAAACTGACGGTTCCAGAAAAGAAACTGAAGGAGATCCCCGAGACGTACATCTACAATATCACCACCGAATCCGTGACGCACTCAGCAGACAAGCAGAAGGTTACGAAGACTACAGAAATCATCTATTTCAGGGTTCCCAATGGGTACGAGCCGAAAATTGTCAAGAACGACCTGCTTGGTTGCACACCAAAACCTGACACTGTGCCACCCAAACCGGCTCTGTCTGAAGAGAACCTCAAATCTCTCTGCAAGCAGATTCGCAAAGTGAAGGTCAGCTCAATTAACCACGTCAAGACGACAACTGAGAACAAGACCCCGGAGTCTCCTGCTGCTGTTCCTGCTCCTGTGCCAGGAGGGACGCCCAACGGGGGAACGGAGAGCCCACCACTCACTGAGGCAGACATTTCCGAACCAGACAACACGGTGAGCGAAAATGATACGGGTACCCACACGGCTCCTCCGGACGCAAAGCCCACAGACACAACGCCCCCAAGCGATAATGCCAACAAGGGTCCTTCTGATGCAGGGACCGGAGCCCCGGATCCTGCGCCTACGCCCAGCAGCGTCGTGCCCAGCGTCGATGCGCGTAATGACGGCAGCGGCAGCCCTGCGTGGGTGGGCGTGCCACTGCTGCTGCTGCTGCTGGCGGTGGCGGCATCGGCCTGCATTTCCATGCACTGAGCTCTCTCTGTGTGTCTGTGAGTATGCATGCGATTGCTATCCCCATGAAATGAGGGGCGCATGGGGGGGGAAA